TCCTGCTGTCTCAATTCAGGGGACTTATTTGGCCATTTAATCTGAGGTAGTGCCCCCTCCCTTTTTTTAAGGTTTTTGCCACGGGATGTGTGTGCTTACCAGAAGAGACAGAAAGGGAAAGAAATCACTCTCTGAGGGGATGGCCACGCTGCATTTCCTTCTCTTCTCTTCTCCTGGAATTTTGGGCAAGCACACACATGTGTCCAGTGCAGTTTTCAAGCTGCCAGGCCCCAGATTTGAACCGTGGTCATCTATGTGGTAATCCAGTACCTTAACCACCACTTTACCTGCTAACTCAGAAGTGTCCCTTTTCTTGTTTATTCACTAGTCACATGGTGTGTTTACTTTGTTACTGTTTTTTTTTTTTGTTTTTTTTAGTAGAAAGTAAGCTCCATGAGACTGATTAGAAACTCCTCTATCTTGTTCACCTTTGTCTCCACTATGCAGAACTTGCCTTAGTAGAGACCCCATACATACGGGCTCACAGGAGTGAGTATTGGAGTACTAGTTGTACTGTGAGAGTGCCACTCCCTGTGATGAGCACTGATGAGATCGCCTCCTGGCGCCATAACTTTTAGTGTAGGACCGTTTTTACAGCTTTTGCCTTTTGTTTCAGGCGAAGTCACTTCAGCCTCCTGTTTCAGAAAAGCAAGGACATCAATGGAAGGATTCGGATCCTGTGATGGCTGGGATTGGGGAGGAGGTACTTTTGTTTACTGAGCATCTTTTCTCAAAATGGCTCTGCCAGTGAGACTTGAATGGCTCTGTGTGCAGACTGCTGCGTGACGGGGTTATCCCAGCGCTGAAGGTTGGCCTGTCCTGCAGAGGCCAGGGCCGTTACACTGAGCCTTGCAGGCTGCTGTGTGACCAAGTTATACCAGCGCTGAAGGTTGGCTTGTCCCGCAGAGGCCGGGGCCGTTACACTGAGCCTTGCAGGCTGAGTGGTCTCCTTGTTGGTGTCTCTGCAGATTGCACACTTTCAGAAGGAGCTGGAGGAGCTTAAAGCACGCACTTCCAAAGCCTGTTTCCAAGTGGGTACTTCCGAGGAGTTGAAGACGCTGCGGACAGAGTCAGATGACCTACACACCTTTCTTTTGGAGATTAAAGAGACCACTGAGGTTTGTGTTCATGGATCCTTTTCCTGACTTGAATTGCATTTTGAAAAATTGTTTTCCTAGTGTCTGTAGGTATTTATGAAGGGACTTCCAGGGAACCAGCAGTTAGCGTAATGGCTATGTCGCTGGACTCCCACGTAGTCGACTGCGGTTCGCGTCCCGCTTAGAACTCACGCCGGGTGCATGTGTGTGTGTGCCCAAGATCCCGAGAGGAGAATGGAGGAGAAGGGATTGCGACGTGACCATCCCCCCTGGGGGGTGATTTCTCGCTTTCTGTCTCTCTGTCTCTCTCTGTCTGGCAGGCGCACACCTAAAAAAAAAAAAAAAAAAAAAAAAGAAGGCACTTCCAGAAGTTCATGGAAAACTGGAAGTATGAGTTTATTTTGGTGCAGAAAATTTTGAAACCCATGCATAGTTTGTTCATTATACTCATAAATGTTTTAAAAACTCTGCATATACTTTCTCTCTGTAAGGACCACCAGTGTCGAGTAGCTTAGGAATGCCTGAGTTCTGATCTTTCAGCCCTTAATAATGTGTGATTTGGGGCAGTTACTCTAGCTACTTTGTGTTTCAGTTTTCTCATCCATAATGTGGATTATAATACTTTCTACTTCCTTGACACATCCTAGGCACACTGAAAGTATATTCTATTAGGTCATTGGAAAATTCCATTTTTGCATAAAAAAAAAATACGTTGTGACTTTTCTGACAACCCAATAGCTGTTAATTTAGTTTAAGTCTATTTGAAATTTTATTTTCTGTTATCATGTTAGGTGAAAAGTAAGGCAGTGAGGTCAGTAGGTGACATAGTAATTAAGGCACTGGACTTCCACATGGCTGACTGCAGTTCAAGTCCTAGACCTGGTTGCTTGAAAATTATGCCGGACACACGTGTGTGCGTGATCAAAATTGTGAAAGGAGGAGGGATTGCAGCGTGATCATTCCCCCTGGGAGCTGATTGCTCTGTCTCTGTCTAGCAAGTACACACGCCCTATAGCAAAAAAGCCTCTCCAAGAAAACATTTTTTAAAAAGGCAGGGTATTTTAGAGTATAAAAAATAAAATGTTTGTTATTGCTGTTACTACTTACTACATGACAGCACAACGTACCCTCACAACTTTCCTGTGTAATATATACTATTACGCTATTACTCTCTCTGTTTTGCAGGTCAGGAAACTGAGGCTTAGCAAAGTAAATTAACGTTCCTCAAAGTCACTCACTTAGCAAGTGGTACTACCAGGATCCCAGTTTGGACTGACTCGAGTTCCGGTCCTAAATAACATGCCAAGGAGAAGGAAAGATTTTCAGATAATAGGATTATGGATATTATTAGTACTCCTTGTTTTCTGAATTTCTAGTCATTAGAATGTGGTGTTTTGGGGGGAACCAGCAGGTGGCATAATGGTTGAGGCAGCTGGATCCTACAC